CATAGGGCCTGACATACAGAGTTCATCAAGCAATGATGAAGTGTTGGCTACTATTATTATTCTGGGTGTGGGCTTCAATTCTTTTTTAGCCATCTTATTTTTATTGTGGCACACCTGAGGCCTGGGAGCTCATTATAGGAGGATACATTCAATTGTGAACATTTTCCTCCTTGGACTCACCCATTTATTTATTCAGCAGATGTATTCATATATAAAATATGTAAAAATGTATTGAGCACATAAAATACTCTAGGTACTGTTTTGCATGTGGAAATTTTTGAAATGGTATATAAGGTCCCTGCCACATAGGTTCACACTCCAGCAAGAGAATTTGAATCAGGCCAGAGGGCCAATGGAGGATGAGAGGAACTCTGTAAAATCCCGACACTTGAGGGGCAAGTGGAGAATGAGAATCCAGAAAATGCTGTAGAGAAATAAGTGAAACTAGAAGACATTAGTTCCATGAAAGTCAAGGAAAGAGAGTCAGAAAGAAAACAATTCAGACAATGTTGGATGTTTTCGATAATTCAAATAAGAAAACAGAAGAATCCTTGGGTTTGATAGCATGGAATTCATGGGTGACCTTGAGAAGAGCAAAATGCAGTAAGTTTGGAAATGAAGAGGTGGAGGTGAGGATATGAAAGGAATAAATCTTAGTTCAGAATGCAAAGACAATTTAGGAAAAAGAGCCAGAGGAAGAAAGATGATTAAGATACAAATAAAGCAAAATGGAATAGACAGGAGTAAACACAGATGGAGACAGGAGGGACAGGAGGAAACTCTGAGGTACGAAACAGGATGAACTTGAATGTGGAGAGGTCAGAAGTTGCTTAGACTTCAAGTTTGGTGCCCTTTTACATTCTCAGTGAAGCTGGAGCTGAAGTCATCTGCTAGGAGTTTGGGAGCTGTTCTGAGCACTTGACTTAAGAAGAGTGAGTTTTAAAAGCCATATTGAGCAAATGGAATAGAAGATTATTTAAAATGAGAGATAACACTATTGGACTGTGGTAGAATCTAACTGAAGTTTGGAAATTCCCATGGCTAGAAGTAACTCTTATACCCCAGCTTTCTAATTCAGAAGACCTAAGCCTGTATACACCACTGCATCAGACATTTATGGCCAAGTTTATCTACACACACCTCACAGGCTGACTAAAGTGAACAAGAAGCTGATATTGTGTTCAGGGACATCCTTAGCAATGTTTGAGTTTATAGGGGTTGCCCAAAGGCCTCAGCATCCCCTTAGTCTTTCAGCCTCTTTTTATGTCCCATGGTTCCAGTCTTGAGAGGAGCTATAAGGGCCCCACTCTGCCTGGATAACCATGAAGCTCCTTCATGAAAGGTTGGCCTGCCTTTGTTGGACACTAGAATTAGAGGCTATTCAGGATTCTCTGAGACACAGCCAAGGCCAGTATTCCCCTGAGTGATCCTAAATAACCTCTGAGAGAGAGTTGAGGGGTGGCATCAGAGAGTCCTGAATCTCACTGAGCCATGGAATCTGTCTGGCTCCAGAGATGAGCAGAGTGGAGGCTGGTCCTGCTTATCCTGCTATCTGGTTAGGCTGGTTCCAGCAGTAGAGTGTAGGCAGAGAAACTCAGTACTGGTAGTACTCAGTTTGGGTTCATGAAGTGATTCCTGTTTATCATAAAAAGAGGGGCTGTGGAAAGTCCCCATGAAATGAGCTGATCCAAGTTAGTTCTGCTGCACAAGCACATGGAGCTAGAGTGACTCCCCCATAGAGAGCAGAGTTGAGAGCCTTAACCCTACTCACCACCACACTGCATCTCAGGTCCTGGGGCTATGCTGAGAAAAAGCTCACCTACACAGTGGATTTCAAAAGGCCTAGGCAGTTCCATTGGCTTGTACTAGATAGGGTATTTAAGAAAGTCCTCTGATAAGGTGACATTTAAGCAGGGATATGGAGGGAGTGAGAAAAGGAGCCATGCTGATAACTGGGGGAAGAATTGGCTAGGCTGAAGGAGCAGCAAGTGCAAAGACCAGAGTCTTGAGCATGCTTTGAGTGTTGGAAGAAATATCAAGGCGGCCAGTTTGGCTTGGGTATGGTGGTCAAGAGGAGTGGTAAGAGATGAGATCAGAGATAGAGGGGCAGGTTAGTGAGGGTGGGATAGCAAGGGATAGGTTGTAGACTATTATAGACCATAGTTAGGAATTTTGGGTTTTCCTCTGAATAAGAAGCCAACCAGTAGAATTGCTTGGACAGACTTAGACTGATGTACTTTTAAAAGGATCACTCTGACTGCTCTGCTGAGAATTGACTGGAGTGGGATAAGGACAAAAGCAAGGAGAGCTATTGGAGGATATGGCAATAATTCAGGTGAAAAGTAATCGTGGCTTGCACCAGAGTGGTTGCAGTGAAGGTGCTAAGAAGTTGGTGAAATTCAGAGTTTATCTCTGAGGCAGGAGGCAGAGCTGATAGGATGTGCTGATGGGTTGAACGTGTGAACGTGAGGTGTGAGCAAAAGGAGAGGGGAGGATGATTCTAATGATTGTGGCTTCATAGATTGTGAAGATAAAATGAATTAATTCATGAAAAAAATTTGAACCGTGCCTGGCAAGTGCTTAGTGAGGGCCAGCTGTTATAGTATTATTGGATAAGTTATGGTGGAGGACAGTAGTTTCATATTTGCTGCTTACAATCACTTTCCACAATAGCTTGTGAACTCTGACATATCCCTGGTACCACTATCTCAAGTTTCCTCCTGTATTTCCAGGCAGAATCACAGAGTACAAGGAGCCTCTTAATCTACAAAATGAGGATAGTAACCTCAACCTCATAGGATGGTTGTAAGGTATAAAGGGACACACATGGATGATTTATAGATGCTCGGTAAATGTTACTCTTGTCCATCATCTAGACCTTTGCTACTGAAACTATGGTCTGTGGCCCAGCACCATCAATACAATATCACCTGGAAGCAGTTAGAAAATCAGAGTCTTAGCTCCATACCAGAGCTGCTAACTCAGATTCTGTGTTTTAACAAGATCCTGAGGTGGTTTGTGTGCACATTAATGTGAGAGAAGCACTGCTCTAGAGTTTCAAGGTCATCCAGTCCAACAGTCTCTTCAGGGTACAGATGCAGAAAGGAAGACTAAGAGAGAGGAAGAGATTTACATGATGTTACACTTAGTTTTGTCAAGACATCTACATTCCAAGCTAGGGTTCTTTACACTAAAGTTTCAGAACTGTCTATAACTCAGCCTCTCTGGGTAGGAAAGGATGGAGAAAAAGAAGAGGTCCTATTTTCTAGGAAAGGACAGAACAGAATTAGGAGGTACCCAGGGTATCTATTTTCATTTTAATCTCACAGATGATTTCAGAGGGCCTTAAAGTACATTCATGTATTTATTTATTTATTTATTTATTTATATTTAATAAACACTTCTATACCACTATGTCCCAGAAATCGTTCTAAGCTCCTTACACGTATGAGCACTATTTTGTATATTAACTCATATAATTCCTAAAACAATTCTATGAGTTAGGGATTGTTACTTTCCCTATTTTACAGAAGAGAATCCTGAGCCACAGAGTGGTTAAGTAACTTGCCTTAGGTCACAAAGCCAGTAAGGGGCAGACCTAGGATTCCAATTCTGGCAGTTTTCCCTCCTACTAGGCCTGAGCCCACAGTAGCCTATTCTGGTCTCAACTCTAGCGAGGGGACAGATATGAAGTTCATTTAGGACTTTTTCTACTTCAGCTTAGGGCCTATTCAGCCCTTTCCCACCAAAGACTTTTCAGCTGCTTTACTGAGACCCCACCCTGAGCTGGCATATAGCCTCTGCCCAGTACAGGAGGGGCCCCTCAGAGACTGATAATGGCACATTTCTTGGTCCTCTCCCCCATACCTTGGCCCAAGCTTTCCTTTTCCTCTACGCATTAAACTATTTCCTCTTTGACCTATTTTAAAACCTCCTAATCTATTGAAAAGCATTTGCTTTCCCTGTCAAACTCTTTTTTTTACTCTCTCTTCCTACCCGCCCCCAAACCCTTCCAGTCTGCACCTCATAGTTTGGCCCTCAATTCTATACTGTGTGCTATTCTCTGTCTCTGTCCAGTCTATTTTATCTTCCCAACTCTGCAAGCTCTTCAAGGTCAGAGACGAGTAACGTTTCAGGATTTATCCACTGCTGGCTCTGAGACCATAGATTAATAAACTCCCAAACTGTCATTGTTTGAAGTGCCTTTAGAGACTATGTAGCTCAACCCCCTCCTTGTACAGACACTCAGGGGCCCAGAGAAGGTGGATGATCAAAGCTGAGTGCCGAATCCAGTTTTCCTTTATTTGTAGTGGTTTTTTTCTCTGCTTCATGTCTGCTCTCTTCCTCCGGTCACAATCCTACCTACCCTTCTGAATGGAGGAGTATTTTTTTGAGGCAGACCCAGACCTGGAAAGTGGCTTCTCCATGTGTCTGAAAATCTTGGCTTTTCCAACAATAATTTTCCCTGTCAAACTCCAAGCCTGCTAAGTCACGAACAAACTTTGATGAGCTGAGCTGCATTCAGCTGTGAAAGAGACAACTTGATGCTTTCTCTGGACCCAACTCCCTGGCCCTCTACTCTCTGGTCCCCGTTTCAGTCCCGGGAGCTTTGCAGCTCCTGCCATACCAGTGACTCAGTCACTGTTCTTCAGCCTCACATATGCCTCTCAAAGGCAGTTTCTTTTTCGTAGCCACGCCTAGGCACTCAAACAGTCCAATAGCTGCTCTAGGAACTTCACGGGGGGCGGAAAAGGTAAGCTTACCATGAAAGGAGGGTTTGGGATGTTGTTGCTACACATAGATGTGAAATGAGTCAAGCGGAACTTTGATTACAAGGAATTTCATATACTGTGAGTGTGTATGCCGGCTGCGGGCTGAGGGGCGGAAACTGAGGGGCGGGGCTGAGGGGCGGGGGCTGAGAGGCGCGGGGTGACCGGCAGGGGGTGACGGGCGGGGGCTGGAAGAGATGTTTGCTCTGCGCTGAGGTGGGTTTTTACGGGAATTCCATTTGGGAGCAAGAGCTATCTACTCCTCCGTTACCGGGTGAGTGTGGGAACACCCCCTGGTGTAGCAAGGCGGCTGGGACCTGCGGCATCTAGATGCAGAAGTACAGAATCAGGTCAGGATGATTGTTCTAGGGTATCGCAAAATCAGAACAATTGGGAAGGCGCCCCGTGGCTGGCTGTCAGTCCATCCATTTGTGTCCTGAGAGCGCTTTCTGAGGTGCCAGGGATCTGGGCTGACATCTCTAGGATCTTGGCGAGCCAGTTCCTGCAGGCTCTTACTGGACCTGCATTGCCACTGGGAACATGCCTGGACGTGTCCAACAACCTTGAGCATCTAGGGTTGGGAGATAAAGAAGAGAAGGAGGCTGGGTGTTAGTGAAGGCGGGGACAGTGAATCAGACTTGTGGAGCATCCTGAGGAAAGCAGAACTGCTAGCCCGCGTGGCTTGAGGGCAAGTCAGGGCTTGTGTAAAGAGCATGCTGGCTCTGTTTGGGGGCTTTCAATCCACCCCCTCACCCGCCGAGCTTGGTTTCACTTGATATCTCATTCCTGGAAGCTGAGCCCCGGGCAGTGTTATTTTGATCCTGCCTCACCCCAAACACTGGCCAAGACCCAGCAAGCTGCAAGAACTGGGGGACAAGAAGGGACCCGGCAGAGACCAGGCTAGGAAAACAGACTTCAGGGTCTGACTTAGACAGGTGTTGGCAGCGTTGGCCAGTATCATGCTGGGTGGCTGGGGCAGGAAAGTTTGGAACATCTTCCCTAGATAACTCCTCTGTTCTTTCCTTCACCCCAACTTACCTTCAACTCAGCAGACTCACTGAGCACCTAGTCTGTGCCACCATGTGTGAGACACTGAGATGTCTGTCTGAGACCTAGGCTGTGCCCACTGGGGCCTGACAGTCTCATCCTGGATATAAAAACACAGATAAATATTAATATAACACAAGAAAGGTTTTAAAAGTTAAATCAAAATGCTTAGAGGCTGCCAAGTAAGGATCATATCAAGTTGAACCATACGAAATCAGAAAAAGGTTTTTTATTTATTTTTATTTTTTTTTATTGTTTTTTTGAAATTGTAACGCCTTTCAGGCCTCCAGAGCTAGACTATTTGAGTTCAGATCCCATATTCACCATTTATTAATTTGTGTTACCATGGACAAATAAACTTACTTCTCCCTTTCTGAGTTTCTGTTAACTTCAGGCTAAAGAGGATAATAATAGCACCCACCTCATTGGGCTGTTGTGAGGATTAGATGAGATAATCCATATAAAATACTTGCACACACTTAGCACAGTGGCTGGCCCAAAATAAACACTCAATAAATATTAACTATTATTATTTAAGGTAGACTGTGGCACACAGATAAGATTTCAACAGGCGGAGATAGAGAAGACAGTTTAAGCAGAGAAAACAACAGGAACAACTGCTTTAAGGCAGGGAAGCTCAGGGCATATGAAAAGAACACCAGCTGAGCTGGATTTTACAGTACAATTAGTGGGAAAATGGAAGTTAAACTTGCCAAGGCAGATTGGTGGTAAACTGCAAAAGACAGTGGATGCTAGAGTTTTGATTTGATTTGGCAGACAATAGGAAGCCATTGAAAGTTTCTGAGCTTAAAAAAATAAGATCCTCTGCTTTAGGAAGAGTAATCTGGTAAAAGGTTAGTCAGCTGGATTGGAACAGGAGAACACAAGAGGTGGATAAACTACGGGCAGAGAGGGAACAAGGTCCTGAAACTGAGGTGGTAGCTGTGGGAATAGAAAGGAGGTGATGAATTTAACAAGCCATCACAAAAGTTGAATCTACAGAACTTTGTAATTCATAAATTATATGGGATTGAAAAAGGACAAATGAGAAAATCAGAATCTTTTTGGGTTGGCTTAGACCTTACAATGTTGTGCATTCCCATCTCACTTCTGTGGATAATGCAATAGAAAGGGTGTGGACCTTCTGAGCTAGACATATCTATTTTCAAGTCCTGGGTCGACTATTTATCTGTTGTTTGTGATCCGAAGCACATTATGTACCTGACATTCCCAACTAGGATCAGCATTTCCACAAAATATTTAGAAGTATGTGGTGTGTGTGTGCGTGTTGCCAAACAGATGCAACAAATAATTGTTCCTCCCACCCACCATGCCAGTAGTTAGCCCAATGAGAAGTAGTCAAATTCTTTAAGCCTCAGCTTTCTAACCTGAAAAAGAGGGATAATAGTACTCACATCATGGTGTTATTGGGAGGATTAAAAGAGATATTTCCTGTCAAGGGTCTAGCACAGTGCCTGACAAGTAGAATTTCATGAATTGTAATCTTCCTTTACCCTAATGGGCTCCACATTAAAATATCCTTGCCAGTCTCTGCTTGAACACTTCTAGAGGGAGGTTCCTTACTGCTTTCTGAGAGCACCCATTCTCTTCAGGGAAAGCCTTGGACTGTTAAAAGTTCTTCCTTTTGCTAAGCTGAACTTAGTTTTCCTAAAGCTTGTACCTGGATATCCTAGTCATTCTCCCTGAGGCCACCTAGAGCAGTCTGTTCTTTTTCTTCCATGACAGTTTTTCAGAGATCTGAAGACCAGAAATCAGATCCCCCTGCATCTTCTGCTCCCAGATCAAACAGCTCACATTATTGTATCATTTCTTATCTGTCATGGAATCAAGTCAAATATGACTCTGTGGTTTTGAAGTATATAACTTGGGGTATGAGTATGTCTTCATAGTGATGAGAAATACTGCAAAAGGAACAGGATGGGTAAATGTGACAAATTTCCTTGTAATTTATTATTTTTTTAATTATTTTTTCTGGTCAGGCAGGGTGGCTCATTCCTGTAATTCCAGCACTTTAGGAGGCATAAGCGAGAGGAAGGCTTGAGGCCAGGAGTTCAAGACCAGCCTGGGCAACATGCAAGACCCTGTCTATATAAAATTTTTTTTAATTAGCTGGGCACTGGACACTGGGCACCTGTAGTCCCAGCTACTTGGGAGGCTGAGGCAGGAGAATCTCCTGAGCCCAGGAGTTTGAAGCTGTAGTGAGCTATGATCATGCCACTACACTCCAGCCTGGGCAACAAAGTGAGACTCTATCTCAAAAAAAAAAAAAAAGAAAAAACTTAACATAAATCATTTTTTTCCACTATGTGCTAAATACTTTCAAATCCATCATCCCACTGCTTCCTTATCCTCAACTGAGGGAATTGCAGATTTGTTTATATATGTATTATACAGGTGGCCAAACAGGTCTCGAGAAAATGAAACTTGCTAGAGATCATTTAGTTAGTAAGCATCTGTGCCAGAACCGCAAGACATATTTTTCTTACTCCAAGTTCAGTAGGGCTTTTCATTTTCCACAGCTGTTAGGGTTTAAGGTGATAGATAGCTGGGCAATTATGCAAACTCTGGCACTAAAGAATCAGTCAAAAGAAAGATGGATCCTCCAATTAACTTATACCAGTTATTCCCTTCTTGAGAGAATTCTTTTCTTTAGATGTCTTCTTGACCTGCTCCCCTCAAATGCCTCCTGCAGAGAGTGAGTCATCTCTTGGAGCCATTCCTCAGTGCTGAAGCTTCATATTGAAGCAGAAGCTGCTTTTCACCTCTTTCGTTCTAGAAACTAGCTCCACCCATGTATTCTTTTCTTGGGAGCTTAACAGGAAAGATATGGGTCAGTTTCACCATCAGTACGTAAAATACGACTACTATTATTTTGTGCACATAGATAGGAGGATGGCTATACTCTGTCTTGGATTAGAGTTTACTGTCTGTATTTTCTGTGTTCCCCACCAGACTGCAATCTCCTAAATTTGGAGAATATAGTTGATTCACCTCTGTTTTTCTCTCTTGCCACTAAGTTCTAATAGAATGCCTAGCATAGAAGGTACTCATCAAGTGGTTGCTGAGTGACCGTAAATTAATTATCCCTATTTTGGAATGACAACAGTTATTATATCCTCCAAACACCACCAAAAGACATCATGCTATTCTCAAAAAGAAAGGAATTTCCATGTAATATATGGTGGAATCAAACAGTGAGATGTCCTACTTCCAGGAGATTGCTAGTCACCATTGTGGATAAGCCAAAAAGAGTGGGCAGCACTTCTTCCCTTCTACGATTCACCTCTCCATGACCCAGCCTACCCTTTGGAATTGTTTCTGTCGAGGATAAAATGAGCCATTATTGGGCTGTGGGAGGTAGGAAAAAGAAGCTGGAGTCTTGGTAGTATAGTCACTGAGTAACTGGTCCTAAAGCTGGGCCAACTCCTTTCTTCGTATATGGGAAGTAGAGAAGCCACTGGGCCCTGAATATGCAGACTTGAATTTTGCTTTTAGCTCTACCATTGAACACTGTGTGACTTTGGGAAAATTCTATCCCTTTTCAGAGCATTAGTTTCCTCATCTTGGATCATCAGGGAATGGGGTTAAGTTGTCCTGAATAATACTTTTAGGATCCCATGACTATATGTTTTCAACTATCTGATAGTTTGAAGTTTTAACTGGTTGCCAAAGAGAAGGAAAAAAAAAAAAAAAAAAAAAAACGATGGAATGTGCTGTCTTATGAGTACTAAGGTGCCTGTTACTAAAGGACTTCAAGTAGAGCTGGATGGTATTTCTTTACTGGGCAAAAGGCCACTGGGACGAAGATTAATTTTAAACCTCCCTTTGACTCTAAGATTGTCAGAGTCTAAAAATGGTCTCAAAGAATGTGCATTTACATATGAGGTCATAGGCTTCTTGTTATCAGTCTCACCTTCCCTCCACAACCTCACAAAGTCCTATACCTTTCTCCCTTTTCTTGGGCATTTAAGAAAAAAGTAAAGAAATATTTTGGCAGCAGCATTTCATTTTGTACAGACAAGCCTCATTCTATAGTTCTCATTCTATTCTTCCAGTCCTTTGGTAAGGATGTGGACCTGGGTTGTGCTTGCAAATGCCCACTGGTTTGTATCTCTGCTCTTTTAGGATATTTTATTCCCTGGCCTATGAGGATGGGATGGAGTACTTGATTGCCATGGGGAAAAAAAGAAACTCTTCTTATTGACA